ATTGTACCAACTGCTGGTCCCAGAAGTTCCATTTTTTTTTAACATTGTGGCTTTCAGATGCCTTCATCTCTTAAATGCTGATGCCTCATGGTACCTCGGCTCATCAGCCTAGCACTGACTCTGACAAGTCTCTCTGGGCAGCCTAGAGCATCCCTCCGCTCCCAGCCTGGCCCCACTCCTCAATCTCCATTTTTAACAGGCAAATTACTTCATTGATGTAATGTACTTTTAGATTATTTCTATTTTTTTGAGAGAGAGATTTTTGTTTGAGAGCATGTGCACTTGCTGGAGAGACAGAGAGACAGAGAGACAGAAAGCAAGAAATCACCACCCAGGGGGATGGCCATGCCGCAATCCATTCTCCTCCATTCTCCTCTCAGGACTCTGGGCATGCACACACATGTGCCTGGTGTAAGTTTTAAGTTGCCGAGTTCAGGACTCAAACCGTGGTCGACTATGTCGGAGTTCAGCAATGTAACCATTATGCCATCTGCTGGTCCCTATTTCTATTTTGTTTTGTAATTGACAGAGAGCACATGTGCTTGACAGAGAGACAAAGAGACAGAGGAAGAAGGAGAAGCACCTCCCCAGTGGAGAGCAGTTACACTGCAATCCCATCTCTTCCATTTCTCCATCCTGTTGGGATTTGTGTTATGTATACACTTGTACCTGGTGTGTTTTTCAAATTGCCAGGGCTGGGATTTGAACTGTGGTCCCCTATGAGATCTAGCTCTCCTAACCACTAGACTATGGGGCCCACCCTCTTTTCTCCTGCTCTCATCTCTCCCCCAATACGAGGCTATTTCAATTTTTTAGTATAAACATAAGTTCAACAAAAATTCCATATATCATTACATATTCATGAAGCTATCTTTATGGATTATAGTAAATGAAAAACATAAACGTGTGCAAAACTACACATGTATATTGTTTTTGTTTTTGTTTTTTTTTCAAGAGAGATTTTTGCTACAGGGTGTGTTCATTGCTGGAGAGACAGAGAAACAGTGAGAAATCACCCTCTGGGGGCATGGCCACTCCGCAATCCCTTCACCTCCATTCTCCTCTCAGGATTTTGAAAATGTATGCACATGTACCTGGCATGAGTTTTAAGCCACTGGGTCCGGGACTGGAACTGCAGTTGACTATGTGGGAGTACAACAATGAAGCCGTTTCACCATCTGCTGGTCTCCGTGTACTGTTTTTGAATCAGTATCTTGGTGTGTCTTATATAATATAGAGTGGATATAATGAAAAGACTAAATCATGAACTTTGAAACTCCAATCCTGACTATATCGCCAAGAATGTGAATGTATAAATGATTTGATACATCCAAGATTCAAGTTTCTTACTTGTAAAATGTGGAATTTGAGGGGCTGGCAGGTGGTGTGGTGGTTAAAGACGCTGGACTCCCACCTGGCTGACTGTGGTTCAAGTCTTGGACCTGGCAGCTTGCTTTCTCACTTTCTTTTTCTATGTCTCTTTCTCTGGTTAAACTAAATAATAATTAATTTTTATTTAAACTACAAGGTCATTTAAGTCCATTTTAGTGAAGAAAAGTCTGTAAATATAAATGTTTTCATAAGTTTTATTATCATTGCATGTGTAACACTTCAGGATTTATGAAAATTATACTTTATCAAATAACATTGATAGCCCTATCCCGAGTAAAGGTACTTCAAAATTCAAAAACCTGCGACAAATAACTTTTTTGTGTGTGGGTAAAGAAGAAAAAGGAAACTGAGGGATATATTACTGGTGGGGAAAAGTCAAGAAAACCAGGACTTACTTTCATGTTTAACTTATACCCAAAAGCAATCAAGATTTGAGATCGCCCTCATTTCCAACCAAAGTGCTGTTGTTGGACTCGGTTAAATCACACACACTTGGAAAGTCACACATACGCAAAAATTGGCTTGACTTTTTTTTTTTTTTTTTTTTTTTTTAAGTTGCAGTTAATCTACTGCTTTGTGTAGCTGCTACCCTCCAGTGGTGAATAGGGGGGAATTCCAGTTGAGACATTTTATTTTATTTTGAGGCATGTGTGCTTGCCAGGAAGAGACAGAGAGAGAGGGAAAGTGCGAAAGCAACCTTTATGGGGGATGGTCATGCTTCACTCCCTTCTCCATTTCTCCCTCGTTTTGGGATTTTGGGCAAGCACCCCGCGTGTTTTCCAAGCCACAAAGTCTAGGACTCAAACCATGCCACGGGCCTTGTGGGATCCAATTCCCTTTATCACCAAGCCACCCCCTGGGCCCGGTTAAGACATTTTAAATGATCTTGATTGAGAAAGAACACATGCGATGTCCATCAGGGCAAGCTGAGACGATCATTCATGTAACAGAAAGTGGTAGAGAGTTCTTATCTCTATTATGGAAACTGCTAAGTGCTGGGAAAATACAATTAGGTTTCTTGCCCTTGGAAAAATAGATGTGATTGCACAATTAAACATAAGAGGTAAAATAGCTATAAAAAATGTGGGAACGTTGAGGGTTTACTAGCTCTATTTTTGAGAAGTTAAGGAGATCTCAGAAATATTCATCTTTATATTAGATTTCAAGATACCTTACCAAGGAATGAATGGGAAGGGCATTTCAGCCTGTACAAATACATGTTTGTTTTGTTTTGTATTTTTATCGTTAGAGGGTGCGTGTACTCACCAGAGAGTGTAAAAGCATGTGTCTTCCCAGTAGAGAGTGGTCATGCTGCAATCCTTTCTCCTCTACTTCTCCATCCTCCTGGATTTTGGGCACACATGCACTTGTGCCTGCAGTAGTTTTCAAACTACTGGGGCCAAGATTTTAACTGCAGTCATCCACATGGGTCCTAATTTCCTATGTATGTTGCTTAACCGCTTCACTATAGGGTCAGCTCTCAAGCTGTGCAAATATGTTCAGCATGAATAGAAAACGTATATTTGGAAAATTATGTAATGTGGTCAGCTAAGGACATAGTGAGTGACAGCAAGAGAGATGATTTTTTTCCTCCCACTTCTATTGGGATACTAATATGCTTATTTTTTTTCCTTTTTTTAAAAAAATTCTTTATTTACTTAATTTTTATTTATCTTTTTAAATGATTATTTTATTTAATTTTACTCACCAAAATCATCATTATTATTTTAGTTAAAGAGATATATATATATATACACACACACACATATATTTAGAGAGGGAGAGAGAGAGAGAGAGAGGAAAATTGAGAAAGCAAGCTACCAGGTCCAGGACATGAACCATGGTTAGCCAGTGGGAGTCTAGTGCCTTAATCATCATGCCACCTGCCAGCCCCTATCATTCATCTTTTAATTTGACCAAAGAGAGAGAGAGAGAGAGAGAGAAAGGGAAAGTGAGAAACCAAGCTACCAGGTCTGGGATATGAATCCCTGTCGGCCATGTAGGAGTCCAACACCTTAATCACCATGCCACCTGCTGCCCTCCCCTCCCCTTAATTGCCAAAGGGCATGTGTGCTTGCCAGAAAGTGAGGGAGAGAGTACCCCTCAATGGGATGTGGTTACTCTGCAATCCTTTCCTCTATTCCTTCATCCTATTGTGATTTGGGGCATACATGCCCACGTGCCGAGTGTACTTTTCAAGCCACAGGACTAGGAGTCAAGCTGTGGTTGACCATGTGGAATCCAGCTCCCTTAACCATTAGGTTATGGTACTGGACCATAAATGCTTTTTCTTTATTCTGAATTTATTAAATTTTTAAAAATAATTAGTCATTTAATGTATTATTATTATTTAAAATAATTCTTTTTTATTTAACTTTATTTATTTATTCATCCATTCCAATTTGACCAGAGAGAGACACAGAGAGAGAGAGAGACAGAGGGAAAGTGAGAAAGCAAGCTGTTAGGTCCAGGACTTGAACCATGGTTGGCCATGTGGGAGAACAGCGTCCTTAGCCACTATGCTACCTGCCAGTCCTTTATTATTATTATTTAATTTCATATAGGTGTGCTTATCAGAGAAAGGGAGAAAGAGAGGGAAAGTGAAAAAGCAAGTCAGCAGGTCCGGGACTCGAACTGTGGTTGGTCAGGTGGGAGTCCAGCACCTTGACCACCTTGCCACTTGCTGGCCCCATCTTTTATCAATTTTTGAATATTAAACTAACCCTAAATTATTGGGATAAACCCCAGTTGGTCATGACATCATATCCTTTGTACTATTGTTGGATTTGATTTGTCTGTATTTTACTAAGTTTTTCTCATGAGGGATATTATCATGTAGTTTTCTTGTAACAGCTTTGTCTTCTTTTTTTTTGAAGTTGCGTGATATTTTAGGAATTATTTTATTTAACTTTATTTTAGTTTTTTACAAGAGGGACAGAAAGACAGAGAGAGAGAGACAGAGAGAAAGAAAGTGAGAAAGCAGGCCGCTAGGTCTGAGACTCAAACCGTGATTGACCATGTGGGAGTCCAGTACCCTTAACCACCACACCACCTGCCAGTCCAGTCCCTCTTTTTTTTTTTTTTTTAGAGAGAGAGATTTTTGCTACAACGTCTGTGTACTCACCAGAGAGACAGAGACAGACAGAAAGTGAGAAATTACCCCCTGGGGATGGCCATGCTGTAATCCCTTCTCTTCCATTCTCCTCTTGGGATTTTGGGCAGGCATTCACACGTGCCCGGTATGAGTTTTAAGCTGTGGGGTCCAGTACACCAGGCCAGGTTGACTATTTGAGAGTCCAGCAATGTAACCATTATGCCATCTGCTGGTCCCATGTCTGGTTTTGGTATCAAGATATCCTAGTTCATTATTGTGTTGCTACACAGAAATAACCTGAAACTTTATACAGACAGAGGTTTATTTGGCTCATGATTCTGTTGGTTGGAAAGCAGTACAATATGGACAGCAGAAGCAGAGAGAGAGGAAGGAACATGCAGTGAGAGGAAGAAGGAAGAACAAACTTTTCCACTTGCACTGTTTGTCCCTCCTCCACTCCCAACTGATTAGATGGTGCCCACCCACATTTCTCAGTCCACTGACACGTACCAACCTTGTCTGGCATGGTGCCTGCGCACATTAAAGGTGGGTCTCCTCTTAAAGATGTCTCCACTTCCCACCGAAATCACATTAGGGACCAAATTCCAAAACATGAGTCTTTTGGGGACAAACCATGATCCAAATCATAGTCCAAGGTAATGATTATCTCATAAAAACCTTGATCTATGGTAGAGCCATGTAAGCCTAAAGTTCTGTGGGAAAACTGTCAGTTAACAAATTAAGTTAAAAAACAGAGGACTATTCAGACATTCTTTCTTTCTTGAATTAACTTTAGTAAATTGTGGCCGTTGATGACCATTTAATTAATTAAAAAATAATTATTTATTTATTTTTATTTATTACTATTTTTAAAATTTTGGCCAGAGAGAGACAGAGAGAAAAGGAAAATGAGAAAGCAAGCCACCAGGTCTTGAACTGTAGCCACCAGGAATTCAAACTGTAGCCAGCCCTACTGGAGTTCAGTGCCCCAACCACCGAGCCACCTGCCAGCCCTGACCATTTAATTTAAATTATTGAGTTTATTGGCATAAAGTTGTTAAAAATATAGAGGTGTGAACTTTTCATTTTCATTTTATACCCTTTTATACTTTTTGATTTTTTTTTTCAGCAAGTACATGTAGAGTCCTGAAGTTGGGGAATTTAGGGGAAATGACCAAATTAATATGTTAAATGATTCTATCTAAATTTAAAATTTTGATGATTTAATATTATAGTGTACCTACTATGGTAAGAGTGTTGTGCTCAGTGTTGGAAATATAAATATCAAAAAGCAAAGTTCCTGGCTTTAGGAAGTTCATGCTTTAGTGAGAGATATTTGAAGCACTGTTAACTTATAAGGTACAACAAAAAAGATCACTATAACGGAAGCAAGAGGAGGCATTAGAGAAAAATCGTCTGAAGTACCTGGCAAAGTCACAGAGGAGGTATTGTTTGATCTGATATGTGAAAACATCCATTTTCCAAATTAGGCTAAAGATGAGAATTTCAGGCAGAAGTTTTTTTTTTTTAATTTTATTTACATTTTTTAAAATACATTCAATTACATTATTTAGCTTACAAGGTGATCATTTCAATATATGAACATTTCTCCCCGGTCTAGTTGATCAAAATATAGCAACACTACCTCCCTGTTTCAACAATGCTGTCTTCATATCCCTCCTCCAAATGTTCTTCCCCAGGCCCCACTCCTCCACACACACCACATCTGGCATTCACAACCACCTCTTCTGTTTGTACATCCTTTAGCCCGTCAGTTTCTGTTACAGAGTGCGGACATTCAGTATATATTAAGTGGGGACATACAGTGTCTCTCCTTCATAGCCTGGCTTGCTTCACTCAGCAGTAAATCTTCCATATTCTTCCACTTTCTGTCAAAAGTCAGGGTTTTGTTGTTCTTAAAGGCTGAATAGTATTCCATAGAGTATATGTGCCACAGTTTTTCAATCCATTCATCCGTACGGGGGCATTTGGGTTGATTCCATGTCTTAGCAATCGTGAAAAGTGCCACAATAAACATCGATGTGCAAGCACTTTTCCAATGAGAAATTCTTCTGTCCTTTGGGTAGATGCCAAGAAATGGGATTGCTGGATCATATGGCAGTTCTATTTGTAAATTTTTGAGGAATCTCCAAATTGTTCTCCACAGTGGTTGGACTAATTTACATTCCCACCAGCAGTGTAAGAGAGTTCCCCTTTCACCACACCCCC